CACAGCAAAGGAAACCATTAACAAAATGAAAAGGCAATCTACTGAGTGGGACAATATATTGGCAAACCATATATCTGATAAGGGGCTAGTAGCCAAAATATACAAGGAGCTCGTACAACTCAATAGCAGTAAACAAACAAACAAACCCAATTAAAAATGGGCAGAGGACATAAATAGATGTTTTTCCAAAGAAGACATATAAATGGCCAACGGGTACATAAAGATGTGCGCAACGTTACTAATCATGAGGAAAATGCAAGTCACATCCTCAATGAGCCATCACCTCGCGCTTGTTAGAATGCCTACTATCAAAAAGACGAGATAAATGCCGGTGAGGATGTGGGGATAAAGGACACTTGCCCACTGTTGGAATGTCAACTGGTACAGCCACTATGGAAATCAGTGTGGAGGTTCCTCAAGTAATTAAAAATAGAACTACCATATGCTTAAGAATCCTACTTTCGGGTATATATCTAAAGGAAACTAAGTCACTCTCTCAAAGACATATCTCTCCTCCCATGTTCATAGCGGCATTATTGACAATAGTCAAGATACGGAAACAACTTGAGGGTCTATCGACGGATGGATGGATAAAGATGTGGCACCTTACATACAATAGAATCTTATTCAGCCATAAAAAGGAAATCTTACCATTTGCAGCAACGTGGATGAACCTGGAAGGCATTACGCTAAGTGACATGATCTGCACAGAAAAAGACAAGTGCCACATGGCATCACTTATACGTGGAATCTAAAAGAAAAAGAGAAGTCAAACTCCTAGAAACAGAGAGTAGGAAAGTGGCTGCCAGGGCTGAGGGTGGGGAAAATGGGGAGAGTCTGGTAAAGGTTGCAAACTTTCAGTCTTCAGATGGTTAATGTCTGAGGATCTAATGTAGAACATGGCGATTACAGTTGATGCCACTGTATGCATAATTGAAATTTGCTAAGAGGGTAGAACTTAAATGTTCTCTCACACACACACGAGTTAATTATGTGAGATGACGGAGGCGTTAATTAACTCAATGAGGGGGAGATCCTTTCACATGTATACATGTGCCGGATCATCGCATTGCACACTTTAAATATCTTACAGTTTCATTTGTCTATCACACCTCAGTAAAGCTGGAACAAATAAAAGAAATGAAGTTGCTTTGTGATGATGTGCTCATAATGTTTACCACAGTCTTCTAAATGCTCACAAAAGTACTTATGAAGCAATATGTTCTAAAATATTTCTGGGGTGCCAAGTCTCGTCTTTAGTGATTTTTTTTCCCCCGCTTCCCCACCCCTTCCTTTTTGGGCATCAGGACACTGGTCATCTGCAGTTCCATGGGTATCCTTCCCCCTCTCCATCCTTCTCAGGTGTTAGAGGCCATTAGCCTCTTCACGAAACTCGCTCGGACCATGCAGAATCTGAAGAATCATCACTGAACTGTCTTAATCAAGGGAATTCTGTGTATCCATTTCTAGCCTAAAATTAAAAGTTATGTTCAAAATCAAAACTACAATGAGGTACGACCTCACACCAGTCAGAATGGCCCTCAACAAAAAGTCTACAAACAATAAATGCTGGAGAGGGTGTGGGGAAAAGGGAACCCTCCTACACTGTTGTTGGGAATGTAAACTGGTGCAGCCACTACGGAGAACAGTATGGAGGTTCCTTAAAAACTAAAAATAGAGCTACCATATGACCCAGCAATCCCACTCCTGGGAGTATATCTGGAAAAGATGAAAACTCTAATTTGAAAGATAGATGCACCCCAATGTTCATCACAGCACTATTTACAATAACTAAGTCATAGAAGCAAACTAAATGTCCATCAACAGATTAATGGATAAAAAAGATTTTGCATATATACACAATGGAATATTACTCAGCCATAAAAAAGAATGAAATCATGCCATTTGCAGCAACATGGATGGGCCCAGAGATGATCACACTAAATGAAGTAAGTCAGACAGAGAAAGACAAACATCACGTGATATCACATATGTGGAATCTAAAAAATGGTACAAATGAACCTATTTACAAAACAGAAAGAGACTCACAGACCTAGAAAACAGACTTATGGTTACCAAAGGGGAAAGGCGGGGTGGGATAAATTGGGAATTTGAGATTACACACTACTATATATAAAATAGATAACCAACAAGGATCTACTGTCTAGCACAGAGAACTCTACTCAATAACTTGTAATAACCTATCATGGAAAATAATCTGAAAAAAAAAACACATATATATATACACACATACATATAACTGAATCACTTTGCTGTACACCTGAAGTGTTGTAAATCAACTGTACTTCAATTTTAAAAAAAGAAGAAAAACAAGAAAAAAATGTTTAGAAGTTATGTTCATGGAAGCAAGCTCAGTTTTTCACTTAAAAAGTGGAAAAAGTTTCACCTGGAAGTTTGATAACAGTTCAGTACCTTTGCTAATACCCCCTACAGCAGAGGGGGACCTGTTAACAAATGCAAATTTCCTTTACAAAAGGAAAACTTCTGCCGTAGTTTTAGAGCTTTTCCTGTGTCTGCAGGTACTCAAGAGCCTTTAGCTCAAAATAATCCATACAGCAAAGAGGCACATCTGGAGGGCATGTCCCACACCCCTCGCCCACAAGTCCAGACCAACACACAAGCCTGTTGGCGCATGGCGGCGCTCAGCCTGCTGGCCTCCAGGGAGCGGTTGGATTCCTGACGCAGGCCGTCTCATCCACACCTGGGCCGACCAGGACTTCCTCCTCTCCCCACCTCTGCGGCGTGTTGGCTGGCTATTCAGCACGACTGGCTGTGTGTTGTTATGTATGGTTTTTTGGGGTTTTTTGGGGGGTATAAAACATTTATTGTTTCACTAGGTTTTTTTAATCTGTTTTTAAACAAATTTTTATTTTATACTGGAATGTATTTGATTAACAAGTTTGTGTTAGTTTCAGGTATACAGCAAAGTGATCCAGTTATACATATACACGTATCTATTCTTTTTCAAGTTCTTTTCCCATTTAGGTTATTACAGAAAATTGAGTAGAGCTGCCTGTGCTATACAGTAGGTCCTTGTTGGTTAATTGTTTTAAATAGAGCAGTGTGTATACGTCAATCCTTAAAAAACTAAAAATAGAGCTACTGTATGATCCAGCAATCCCACTCCTGGGCATATATCCAGAGAAAACCATGGTTCAAAAGGATACATGCACCCCGATGTTCATTGCAGCACTATTCACAATAGCCAAGACATGGAAACAACCTGTGTCCATCGACAGAGGTGGGGTGTTTAAAGATGCTCTGGGAAGTTATTCTCATGGGACCAATACAACCCAAGATATTCTGACATGGCACAAAACCCCACCGATTGAGTTTCCACCCTTTAACAATCGCCCAGTAGCATACAGGACAGAATTCTCTCCCTCTCCTTCATCCTCTTCCCGTGTCCCTGAACCCCAGATCTCCTCGACGCTGCTCTGGGCAGGAGGTTCAGGGGCAGGTAAGACATCGGCCGTTTATTGTTTGAATCCCTCGAAGTGAGTTTCCTAATATGGACGAACACAATGGTCCCCCCGCATCAAACACTGCTCGAAAAGCCCACGTCAAACCTCCTTATCCTGTCTCCTTTCCAGGACCAGCCAGTCTCCGCACTGTCCCCAAGCGGCCCAGAGGGACCTCCCTCTGTCCATTGGCTCCCACCATTCATTCTCAGGGACGGCCTGCTCAGGGGTCCGGTTGCTGCCCAGGGATCCCCTTTCCTGCCCAGGGGTCCTGTTGCTGACACCGTCTCCTTGCACACCTGGCTTCAGGACTCCTCCCAACTCTAGCCCGGGTATCTGTACTGTTTCACACCCCCAGGAAACCCCCTGGTGGTTGGTTTATGCTATCTTGTATCTTTTGTGTGTCAGGTGGCACTAAGTGGTCCTACACAGAACAGAAAACTGAAGGCCGTTGAGCCTTCAGCAGGCAGGCATTGGAGTCTTCTGTCCAGGTCAGCGGGGCCAGCTCTGCTCCACCAGCCCTCAGGCAACCCAGCAATTCCTGCTCAGCCGTCCCCAGTCGCTAGGGGGTGGCCCCAAACTCTCAAAGGAGGTGGCATCCTTGTTCCAGCCAGGAGCATGGACGGACAGACAAAGAAGAGGGGCAAAGGGCACCCACATCTCACAGCCAGCACTTCACCACATGGCCGCTCCAAGATACCAGGGAGGCTCGTGTGCAGACTTGGGGCCTTTTTTCAAGGTGCCTCTGTGTCCAGGCAAAAACTCTATTACTGTGCAAGAAGGAGAGAACCGAAATTGGGGGAAATTAGTCTCTACGACAGCACCCACCTTTACAGTCTTCACATATTCATGTCTTAAAGGAGCAAAGATGTCCTTTATACTTGACACAGGATCCTTTATACAGGATCACCCATGGGCCTGAAGGCAAAACAATCAGGACGTTTCGGGTGCCTGTTCCACGGGCTTTTGCTGGTTCAGATGTGATGCTGTGACGGCACCATCTTCCCTGAGCACAGTGTAAGCATGTTGTTTCCATTCTTCCTACAAAAGATGCAGGTTCAGCCAGTTCAAAATCAGGAAATGAACATGTGAATGGTTGGAATCTCATGACACAGGGAGGAAAAGCTGTTATCATCCTAGATTTGTCCTACAAATGGGGCAGCCACTACTGAGACCCAAGGAGCTGGGACAGGGCTCAGTGCCCGCCACCAAGAGCGGTGGGGGAAGAGGAAGCCAGCCCCAGGAGGGGGTGACACAGAAGCTGCCTGTGGTGCAGGGCCCTCCTGTCAATGATGGTAATTAGCACGCCCGGGGTTTGCTTGGTTAAAACCACGACCCCCCAGGAAGTGAATGGGGTGACATGGGGAGCAAAATAAGAGACAAAAACTTTTGTGGACAAGAAAAACAGGCTTTGTTTACAGGCTGCTTAGAGAAAGTATGTAACTAACGACTTTTACTGGTATCAACTAGAACGACTAGTCATGGACATGTCATTTCTCTCACTCTTGTTCGTCCCAGGAAATGTCCCAGAAACCAAAGGTCGTGACCTGGAAGACATTCTGATTCCAGGGAATGAATGAAGAATGGAAGTCTGGACTTGGAAAAATCCTAATAAATCTTAATGAAAAGTTTCAGATTTTAGCACAAAGCAGACACTTGGTAAGTATTGGCCAAGTAAGTGAAAGAAAAATATTTGAGGACAATTTTATTATTTACAAGTTTTATCAGATGGTTGGAAAGAAACACAGCTCATGAGTTCACTATTTTAGATATCTTTTCATAAGTGCTGTTATGTTAGTAAACATCTGAAGAACGTCAAGGAGGCTGGAAAGGAAACTATGGTCCAAGGTGGCAGGTTGAAAAACACAGACTGTGCTCGCTGGAGTTGTGTGGGGCACACCCTGTGTAACTCTGAACAGCAGTCCTTCTCAGGGTCACTTATGTTTAAATTAACGTTCAAGAGCCCTGGAGAGCTGTGATGTGGATACAGAGCCCAGGTGGGTTAAGGAAGGTGTCCCTGTGGGGTGTGGATGGCAACCCAGACTGGAGATCAGAACCGAAGCAAAGTCAGAGGGTAGCTGCTCAGGAGGGCAGCGGTGGTGATGGGAGAGTTGTTACGAGGAGGGAGGATTGATCAAATTGGTAAATATTCTGAGGATTAATGGAAGCCATGTTTCTCATGGTCAAAGAAGGAAATTATAAATGTGGAAAGAGCAGAGTGAACCCTACAGTGCTGATTTCAAAGTGGAGATTTTGGTGAGAGTCGGGGTTTCAACAGACGTACATAGACGTAGATGTAAATAGAGATGTGTCATACCTGTGTGTGTATGTGTTTGCACTACTGCGTGTGTGTGTGTGTGTGTGTGTGTGTAAACATAAATACACTCTTTAGATTTTTCCACCAAAATCGGCTGGGAGCAGACACCCGTGTAGCAATGAACATGCTAGACCCAGCTATTAGATTCTATGTTCCATTCTCCACAGAAAAAAAGCCCAGACTTGGAGAAATGGCAGATCCCAGGGCTCGGTGGGACTGGGAAATTGCAAGATGGGCTGAAAACAGGAAGTAAGGAAATGCTCAAACAGTGATAGGATGTCAAAAGGATATTTTGGTCAAACCTGGAGAGACTTTTTTTTTTTTTTTTTTTTTTTTTTTGGCGGAACGTGGGCGTCTCACTGTTGTGGCCTCTCCCGTTGCGGAGCACAGGCTCCGGACGCGCAGGCTCAGCGACCATGGCTCACGGGCCCAGCCGCTCCGCGGCATGTGGGATCTTCCCGGACCGGGGCACGAACCCGTGACCCCTGCATCGGCAGGCGGACCCTCAACCACTGCGCCACCAGGGAAGCCCTGGAGAGACTTTTACATCAAAATAAATAATGATGTTATTATTAATGAAAGTAATAATGGGTTATTCAGTAACCTACTGAGCAAAATAGGAATCCGTGATCCTGTTCTGACATAAATAAATCGGGAGAGGAGAAAGCTTTTGGTAGCAGAATGCCAGCCTTTCAGCGTGGAAGGATGGGTGGATGGCAGCATCACCAGTGGGTCCACTCGTAACAATAAGCAATCCAAGAAATATCCAGGTATGCTAGAGCCGCAGTGAAGGTCTGAGGAGGGTAGGGCTTATTTGCAGTCTCAAAACTTCCCCTCATACAATACTTACTCATTACAAAGGGAAAAGGATGACTTCACAGTGGGGAAGTCTGGCAGATACCACATTCGTCACGTGATCACAGGTAGTACAAGCTGAGGGACAAGGCACCTGGTAGGGCCCACTGGGAAGAGCACAGCACCAGCTCTGTGACATTTCTGCCAGAACTGTGTATCCTGTATCTAGACGTAAGGATACGCGAGACAAACCCAAACCGAGGACTATTCTACAGTTGTCTGAGGTGTCAAGGTTGGGAGGCCAGGGAAAGACTGAGAAACAGATTGTGAAGGAGACTTTGAGAACTAGGCACAATGTGAGATTCTAGGTCGGATCCTTTTGCCCTGAATGACTTTAATGGGACAAGTGGTAAAACTTGAAGGGTCTCCAAGGACTAGATGGGGGGTGTGGATCTGTGCGAAGTGCACAGGAGCTAATTCTTCCTGCCTCGGCATCTCAACACATCTTCAGCTCTACTTCCTAAGAGTGCAAAATACAAAGTGGCCACAAAAAGTTTCTTTTAGGGGCTTCCCTGGTGGCGCAGTTTCAAAGACTAATATATTACAGAATATCTTCTCTGATCAAAATAAAATCGAATTTTAGAAATAAATAATGATGTTTACAAAAGCCCTAATAATTTGAAAGTTCAACAATGTGCTTCTAAATAATCCATGAGTCAAAAAAGTTATGAGAGGGCTTCCCTGGTGGCGCACTGGTTGAGAGTCCGCTTGCCGATGCAGGGGACACGGGTTCGTGCCCCGGTCCGAAGTTTCTTTTACATTTTCTGCCCACTTAGAGATGTAAGGCATGATGATGGTAAGGAAAATAGAAAAATACGGTGTCAGTAAAGGAGAGAAACATAAAAGAGGATTTGGAAGAAATTATTTAGTGGAGAGTAAGAAATGAGAGAAATACGTTCATCGGTCGAATGGTTCAGCCAGTGGAATCAATATTTTATTTGTATCATCACTGTCCTTTTGACATCAGACATTTGGTGCTTTGATTAACTTTTTATTTTTATTTATTAAAAATTTTAAAATTTGACCATATGTTGGTTCTGAAGCACTAACATATGGAAACAGGCAAAACCAATGAAAACCTTGCCCTTGGCAGCTCCTATCTGGATGCCCTAATGTGACAGCTGCTTAGAAATTTAATTCTAGGAAACAATAAGCTTATGCTTGGGAATGGTAATGACAATGTTCAGCTTATTCAGAGTTTAAGACTTCACACTGGCACCTTTTCTTAGGAGGGGCGGGAGGGAAAGCAAGCAGAGGAAAATTGAGCCTTTTTGTTCTAGTCATAGAAACTTTGCTTTTCATTAATAATTATGGCAATCCAATACATACTATTAGATGCCAGCGGGCAATATTTCTAAACAATTACATCTTAATATGTATATTAAAGGAATTACATTGAGGATTAGAATGAATAAATCTTCATTAATTATATTCACACAGAATCTCCAAATTCCTTGCATGTGGTAGCGCTTTCTCAGATCTTCACAATTCAGTTTGTTTTTTAGTAGTTGATGGTTCTTATTTAAAAATCATCTACAACATTGTTCTTTTTGCTCTATAGGAGGCAGAATGTGGACCTATTTTATTCTTTCAGAATTAATGAGTTTTGTGATTAGCACTGATTTCTTCAGCAAACGTGAAAAATTTTACTTCCAAATGGCAATTTTGTTTACTCTGCTAGGGTCCCATTGGCATCCTTGTAATTAGGTATTTCAATAAACAAAGCCAAAACACTCAATTGTAAAATATGTTTTGTACGTATTGAAAAAAAGTATGTATTAAAGCGGAAGGACACATTTATCCCAGGATGAAACTCCGACAGTGTTTACATGTTTCATAAGTTCTGCATAGTTTGGGGTTTGCTAGAAGCAGAAGCTGGATTCTAATGGAAGTATTTTACAACCTGGTGGGTAGTCCAGGACCCTGGAGAGCGACCGAGGGCAGCGGGAGAGGGGCAGCCAATGAGAGCCGTGCCGTCCTGCGAGGCCCCTTGCAGCAAGGACCCATTGTGAGTAACTGGCTTGATTCCCCTGGGAAACTCTGGCTCACCAGACACGGAGTGGGGCCACTCCTGTGGGTGCTGGTTCTGCAGCGCTTCCTGTCTGCCATGCTTGGGTCAGCAGGCTCTCGTTTCACAGAGATTCCGGGCACAGAGGGAGGATACCTGAGGCTGGAAGCCTGGCCGCTGGATTAGAAGGTCGAGGCCTGAGGGCACATGAAGAGCATGCACGATATCTGCTTGAAAATCACTTTATGTAGAAACAGTAAGCGTTAACTAAAACGTCTGGATAAATGAATGTGGAAAACATCGTGTCGCTACAGCCTACTCTGGTCGAATGAATGTCTTATTGGTGATGAAAATGTAATTCTTAAACTTACCAGTGTTTGCTTCTTTCTTTCAAGCTGAATGTCTTCTTTGGCTCTCACTAATTTTTTTTCAGCAATGGCAAATATTGTCAAGAGCTAACTTACATGTTTATGATAATGAAAGATGACTTCTTGGAAGGAATATTCATGCTCTGCACAGTTCTCAATCCCCTTGGGGGGGAGTGGGAATCAGGACAAAGTGTCTATTATTTTCTGAGCTACTGTGTCCTCATCGGTAAGTGAGCACAATGCTGAGGACCTCACAGGCTCTAGTGAGCACTAGAGACAAAGTATAAAATGTGTGCATACAGCAAGTGCTCCATTGATGACCAGGTTGCCACCTTAGCAGGCTGTCCCAGTTTTTTTTTAAATGAAGAGTGATATCTTCCCACCCAACTATTTAATTAATTAATTAATTAATTATTTTTTTAGATGTTGGGGGTGGGATTTTATTAATTAATTAATTAATTTTTGCTGTGTTGCGTCTTTGTTTCTGTGCGAGGGCTTTCTCTGGTTGCAGCGAGCAGGGGCCACTCTTCATCGCGGTGTGCGGGCCTCTCACTATCGCGGCCTCTCTTGTCGCGGAGCACAGGCTCCAGACGCACAGGCTCAGTAGTTGTGGCTCACGGGCCTAGTTGCTCCGCGGCACGTGGGATGCTCCAAGACCAGGGCTCGAACCCGTGTCCCCTGCATTGGCAGGCAGATTCTCAACCACTGCACCACCAGGGAAGCCCCTGTCCCAGTTTTAACGTGCATTATTTACCCTGATGAAAAATTTCAAAATTTGAGTGAATTTTGGTTTCAAAGTGATGAAGACTTGAACACCCATTGAAACAGACAGTCTCCCGGTCCGTAGGCTTATCAGTGAACCAAGGTCATTACCTTTGGAAGGAAATGAGGATGTGTGAATGCAGGAACTTCTGAACGCCGTGAGTCTCCGGAGTTATGTAGATGAGGTGTGTGTCACAACAGTGCCTCTGCAGAACTGGTTGCTTCCTTGGAGGAACACGTGAGCTTGCAGTCGATCCCGGTAAGACACCTTGCTTGCTTTCTTGGGGGTGGTTTATCGATTCTTTGAGGAGAGTTTTCAGGAGATCTGGCTGAAAGACAGCCATACAGGTGTGACCGTCACCTGGAGCTGGAGGAGTTTGTGCCGGACACTGGGTGGGGCCTGGGGCAGCCGCCTGGGCTGGATGGGTGAGGTCTTCCAGGGGGTGTAATGTTTGAGAGCGATGTGTAACTCTGGTGAGCTGGACCTAATGCTATGAGGTGGCAGCTCTGTTGGGAAGGGGTGGGGCAGGTTCCCGGGGGTGACCTGGATGGGACGGTGATGCCCATGGTTCCTGAAGGCAGTAGAAATTCCCACCGTTAATCATCCTGAGAAAGAGATCTTGGAATGAGGGGCCAGAGCCATGGGAGCACAGAGGGACGTCTCCCTGCCCAGCGCCTCTGCTGCTGGGGCTTGGGCTCTGAGGCTGACTGACTGCCTTTCCAGTGGGAGCGGCTAGTGCCTTGCCCAGTGCAACGGCAGTGAGGTGACCACCCAGGAGCCAAGCAAAGAGGGCGTCTGAGGGTCCCCTGAGGACGGCTCTGGAAATATGAAGTCACTTCTAATAGCAACCTAGGTTCCCACATGGATTGGAGCTTCCTTTTATTAATCCTCAAGCTTCAGTAAGATCTTGTTTAAGAACTAGTCTTTAGCATGCCGTGGGAGTACAGATCAGGGCTCAGTCCATGCCTGAGGGTAATAAAGCAGGGGGAGCAAAAGCCCTGTCTCGAGGCCAGCATGGGAGTGGCAGCAAACACTCCAGCCTGGACCACCCTGGGAAATCCTCTCTTGTTCTTGAGCCCATTGAGAGCTGGCATCTTTTCAGATCATCCAGTAAATGGTTTAGGGTAAGATAGTCTCATATGTCACGTCAAACCCCAAAGAGGGCAGATAGATTGGGGCCTTCCTTGTGGTAACGAGTTTCAACCCAGATGCCTCGGTCCCCAGGAGTATCCTCGAGAACACAGGCTCTTTCGACGTCCGAAGACTTATCTGCCACCCTATGACCCACGTGCGCCTTTTCAAAGCAATACGACTTTCTGCTTCTGGGTCTTCTCGGCCATGATGGCACCAACGTAGTGAAGCAGTGTGCTGTCTGGGGTGATATGCCATGTGCTCAGATGACTAAATTAGTCCAGAAGGTAAGAGTCAAGTGAGCAGCCCGATGGAGAGGAACCCAGGATCACTTTCCAATTTCACGCTTATCTGTAGTGTGTTGAAAGCTTGTAGGGTCATGTGGACCACGGCAAGGCCTCTCTCGGGGATGCTCGGGGATTTCCGACGACCTGGGCAGCCACTTTCTCTGCTAACACCCCCTCTCCACCCCTAGGCACGCTTCTCTTTCCACTGTGGGTGCCTGATTCTGAAGACCATCTCTTTTCTTCATTCTTGGAAAGCACCTCTAGCATATGTCTAGTGTATGCAACAGAATTTTACTTAACATTTGGGGGTATTGGAGTGCTGGTTACATCACGGAAAAGACCAGGAAAACCTAAAATCAAATATTAGAAATTTCTGCTCATGTTATTTTATTATGCATGAGTAATGTCTCCCAAACCCTAGCCCAGACTGGTGTCTGGACCTACATTTGTTTGTCCAAAGCACCATTAGCAAATTTTCCTAATCAATAAGGACAGATAATACCAAGATTACTAACATTACTAACACTATTGTTACATTTGTACTTGACATCAAAGAGGGCAATTATATCCCATCAGAATGTATTCCTCGGTACCAATGTCAGAGACATTGTCAATGCAGAGACCCATGTCAACCGTGAGCTGGACAGACCCCGTTTCTGAATCTAGATGGTGATCATTATGCTTCTTTTCGATGAATCTGTCTGTGGGCCATTACTAGACTATCGTGGGGTGGAGTGATCCTTGGATGGTTAGAAGGCCATGTTATACTTTTATTGCACAACCCACTGGCCCTCTGTCTGTCTTACTCAGCTGGCTAAACCACAGCTCTTGTTGGGTTCAGCTCTCCTACTCCCTGGCTCTTGGGTCTACATAATGAATGTGTCTAGAAAAGGATAACAAACAATCGTTGTGACTGGTCTTGCTTTAAATTCATGGTTGCTCACTGATGTTGCCTGGAAGTTATGTAATTCTGTACCCCTTTCATTCTCCCTCTCCCCTAGATGGCTGTTGCATTTCTTTTCCTCTCTTGTCAAAGCTCTGATGCCTCTTTTTCCATCTTCACTCTCAGCCAATGACCTGGTTTCCTTTTTCACTGTGAACAAAGGAACAATCAGAAAAGAACCTGCATAAACACTCACCACCACATCCACCTGTGTACTGTACCTGTGGACGCTGCCGCCTTGCCTACAACTGAGGAAGTCTCTTGCTGGTGCACAGTCTCCCAGCCTCTTCGGTCCACTTGGGGATGGGACCGAGTGCTTCTCCCTTTGCTTTCTTGCATAGTCAACATTTTCCTCCTTACTGGGTCATTCACACCAGTGTGTAAACATCTCTTATTTCTACCATCTTAACGACAGATTTTTGGACCCCAGCGTCATCTCTAGCTCCTGACCATTTCTCTCTTTCCTCTTGTGTAAACTCTCTGAAATAAGTGTTTGTATCCTCTCCTATTTCCAGCCCCCTTCCAGCTAGGTTTCCCCATGCCACTCAGCAAAGGCTGTCAAGGTTGCAATGATTGCATGCTGCTAACTCTAATGGTCATTTTTTTTTTTTTCAGTTTTGTGTTGCTTGGTCTGCCAGCAGCATCGACATACTTGATTATTCTCCCCTTCTTGAAATACTTTTGTGCTTGGCCTCCAGATCTCAGGCACTGAACCTCTTCTCTTATCCATCTGTGCCCACTCCCTTGGTGATCTCATCTACCCATAAGCTCATGACCCTTAAATTTACATCTCCAGCCCAGCGCTGTCCTCTGAGCTTCACATTCAGATAAGCAATTATTTCTTGTATTGGTATCTCCACTGGGATATTCTAATAGGTATCTCTAACTTCTCAAGTTCCTAGCTAAATTCCTGATATCCTCTTCCATCCTCAACCTACTGCTTCTGCAATATTCCCATTTTATTTAATCAACTTATCCTGCTAATGTTCAGGTCAAACACCTTAGAGTCATGTTTTGTGCTTCTCTTTCTCTCAAATCCAATATCCAGTCTGTTGGCAAATCTTGTTGACTTTATCTCCAAAACAGACCCATCATATCTTACTGGGATGTTCTTCCTAATTCCATCTGGGTTCCCTGTAATCTACGTTTCACATTGCCACCAGAGTAATCTTCTTAAAATGTAAGTCAGACAGTCCTTAAAATGTAATGTCACACAAAACCTTCCAATAGCTTCCCATCTCACCCTAAGGAGAAGGTAAAGTCATTACAATGGATTGGAAGACCCCCTACCTGGCCCCTCTTACCTCTTTTATTTATTTATTTTTGCGGTACGCGGGCCTCTCACTGTTGCGGCCCCTCCCGTTGCGGAGCACAGGCTCCGGACGCGCAGGCTCAGCGGCCACGGTTCACGGGCCCAGCCGCTCTGCGGCATGTGGGATCTTCCCGGACCGGGGCACGAACCTGTGTCCCCTGCATCGGCAGGCGGACTCTCAACCACTGCGCCACCAGGGAAGCCCCCCTCTCACCTCTTTGACCTCAACTCTCCCCACGCTTCCTGGGCTCACTCTAGTCTAGTCTAAACCTCCTTGGTTTCCCCTGAACATGTCAGGCAGATGTCTGCATCAGGGACAGTGCCTTGCTGTTCCTTTGTCCTGAAATGCCCCTCCCCCATATAAACACATGACACACTCCCACACCTGTCTCAGGGCTCCATTTAAGTGTCACCTCTCAGTGACACCTTCCCTGTCCACTCGACTTAAAATTGCCTCAGTAATCCCTATCTGTCCTCCCTGCTTGATTTTTCTCCATGGCACTTATTACTTTCTACCATATTGTAGATCTTTTTCTTTATTTTGTTTATGGCCCAGCTCCCATGACTGGAATGTAAATCCCATGAAGTCAAGGAATTTGTCTGTTTCACTCACCGCTGCAACACTTTGGCCTAGAAAAGTTCCCGTCACGTAGTAGAAGCTCAATAAGCATTTGCTGAAAAAATGAATGAATCGTGGCTTGGTGTAAAGAGGACTTGGAAGACCCAGGCCTTATTTTTTTGAATCCACTACTCCTGGTTTATAGACTCTTGAGAAAATTACTTAACATCTTTATGTGCTAGTAACTTTCCATCTGTAAAGTGTTTTCCCAAAATAGTTTGTCAGGATTAAGCGAAATGATAAATATGAAAGTTCTTTCTAATTTTATTAGATGTGTTAACATTAACAATACTATTTATAATCATATAAAAAAGGAAGGAGACAGTTAGACAAACCAGGGATGAACATTCTCACTTCTTGCCCAGCAGGGTCACCGGTGTTTTCTACCAAGGGCCAATTTAGAACTTTCCATAGGGGGATTTGTGGCTTGACTAATTCTATTTTAGATTTCAGAGAACGTAACCCAGATTCCCCCTCAAATTACAGGACTATTCCCAAACTGAATAGTTGCTCTGGGGATATAGACACTCAGGTTTCTGCTATCCCTGCAAGGTCAAGTTATAACATAATGGCCACACATTGTAGAAAGTGGTGGAGAAGGCAATGTGAATCTTTTGAGGGCAATATTTCTCCTTTACAACTGGGTTATGCCTTCGCTGATCGTTGACCTACATTATTTGTGACGTGCAGATTCTCAATTTATCACATCTTTACTTTTAAAGGATAAGTCATGTGGTTTTTTTAGGCTTTTAAGCCAGAATGTGGATAGATGACTATAAAGTTCATTAGGTATTATGTGGAGCTTTTCAGAGAACTTTATAATCATTCTGATTAATTTGTAATTTCCAGGAAGACTAAAAAGTATTTCACAGACTAATAATTCTGAAACGAGAAAAAAACTTGTCTCTAAAATTGAAATTATTAAGTGACCTAGTTGCATCAGCTTGCCTTCCTTCCTCCATCTTATTTTTTACCTTCCTACGATCTGAGGTGTAGCTGGAAGAATGAAGCTTGCGGTGAGACGTTCACCACACCACCCAGTGTGGGCAAAGTAAGAGCACGAGCGCAGGCACACGTGAGGCCCAGGCGCTGAGCCCTCAGCATCCAAGCCGCTTTAATCCGTATGAAGGCCAGTGGCCTTGCGCTGGCGGAGAGAAGTCTAAAGATTAAAGAAACCTGACATTCAAGAAAGGAAACTCCTGTGGCTGTTCATTTGCGGAACAAGAAGCTACTTCTTTACTGGTAAGTTTTTATTTCATCCTGGGATTTAGGAAACATTGTATCCCTGTTGTCTTAACTGTTTAATGCTTTGAAGATAAAAGAAAATTGCCAACATTCATGGTATCAAGCCAGGCATTGATTGTCACTTAGACCACTTAGCCGCACCGTGGGGAGAGAAGGGGAGACACTAACTTTTGCTGAGTCCGTGATGTGCTGGCCACTGTTCTAGAGACATCACCTGTGTTATTCTAAGTAATCTTATGTTATGTTATGTTACGTAATTCCAACTGCAGTCCTGAGAGCAGGTGTGGTTAAAGGGTTAGGGAGATGAAGTTACACCATCCGTGGGTAATGTGGGGGGAATCGAGTCCCTTCAGGTCGCCTCTGCCCTGCTGATGGTGACTAGCACTTGTGAAAGGACTGCAGGAACAGTGGCGAGGAACCTGATAAACCACAGCCACCACTGAAAGTGCCATCACTTACGTGAGCCATGACTGTGAAGAAGAAACGCACACTCTACAGACCAAAACCAGACACAGTCTCCTTAACTTACCATTTGTGAACATGCTGGGCTGCACCCCTGTGCCCCCGTGGACAGAATGAGGGGTGCTGGTGGATCTAAATGTGGATGAAGCATGGCGGGGCGGGGTGGGGGGTGGGGGGAGGTGAGCGACTGTGTGAAGGGGGATAGGAATGGACCTGGAGAGCAGGGCGGTGCTCTAGGTCAGGAGCGAGTCCCACATCACGAAGAAGAGAGCCCCAGGGCGCTGACAAACGGGGGATGGGATGGGAGGAAGGGCTGGGGCAGCCTGGAGCCAGCTCAGCAGAAGGTACAGATCCGCGTGTGGACATACATCCACATGTGGACCTACTCACGGGTCTGGTTCAGGAGAACGGATGAGGCTGCATTCATGGGAAGAAGTTCTCATGATAAAATCATCTTTCAAGTGAAAGTGACAAATGGGTGGCAATGAGTTTCACTGTGTTGTGGGTTCATGTATTGATGCCATTTAAAAAATACTGTTATTCCATTAATATGCCAATACTGGAGGCGTTTGCTCTAGTCTTGCAGTATGTCTTCTCTTACTAGACATCCTAATCCTTCTGAGCCCTCGCCTACCTGGAGGTCTCTTATCTAATAACATCAAGCCTCTGAGACAACTTGAGAAAGAGGAAATGAACACAAGAAGAGACTCTTGCAGCCAAAATAGATACCACAGAGCCCATCCCCTCTCCCAGGGGAGACCCTCAGGTGCACGTTCAGATGTACCGACTCTTATTTTAGGTGAGGTTCTGATAAGTAGGGCTGTTTGGTTTCCCAGCCCAGAGCTTATAGAAGCAAAAAGTTTCAAGCGGGAAGGTCACTCCTGGAGTCAGGCGCCGGGAGGAACGCGGCAGGAAAGAGGACAGGGTGGGATGGGAACACCCCAATATACAGAGAGGACGACTCGATATATTTCAGTCTGGGGCCATGTAACGCACAAGCAAATAGCCCTCAGTATTTGAGCGACTTCTGCTTGGAATTTGGTGCTTTCCTGTAGAGGAGAAAAGCTCACGTCTGCGGTGGTGACCACAAAGGCATCAGAGGCAGGGCTGGACCACGGCGATTTTATTAGAAGATGCATTTGAGCCAGAATTTCATCAACCAGGTCTCAAATTTTAAAATACTTAAAGCTGCAGACGATCAACCTCAGTTGAAAGCTAACTCAGAATTACCCGCCCCCAGGACAAGGTGAATTAGCCAGTGCCGCGTTCCTCTGTCAAGTACACTCAGCACCCAGCGAGTTCTTCATGATGGCCGGGCGAGGCCTTAGGATCTACAGAGGATTCCATGTCAGACAAGGTTGATGTCTGCGAGACGCGTTCCGTTTTACTTTGCACAACTCCTTCTGTTTGGGGAGTAGAGCGAGGAGTTGGATGCGTGAACAAAGAGAAAAGGGAACAAAGAAAGGATGAAGATGTGAAGGAGGGGGCGGTCTGAGCAGAAGGTAAGGAGTGAAATAGAGGGGAAGTGTTAAGATGGTGAGCGAGGCCATCGAGGGGGAGGTGCAGCCACCCAGGACCAGGGGAGGGCCGGCGGCAGAGCGAGCAGGGCTCGCCCTCAGCCCTTGGCAGGAGCCACTAGGACTGGGGTGCGGCCAGGCCTCTGCACTTCCCCCCTCAGCCTCCTTCTGCCTGGAGTTGTAAGGACTTCACCCTCCCCGTTGTCTGTCTCCCTGCTCATCATACCAACCACCTGAGATTCTGGGGGTGAAGGGAGGATGAGCCACAGGTTAGCGCAGCCCCTGGTCTTTCCTGCTCACGTGTGGCCTCCTGGGCAGCAACGGCCCCAGGGGTGTTAAGAACTGCAGGCCCGCTCGGTCAGAGTCTGGAGAGGGGATTCAGACCCTCACTCCGTCTGCTCACTCGGAACCCCTACCTGGCCCCCCGCTCCGCCCCCCTAGGCAGAGAAATCCTCAATCCAAAGGCTCATTACTGTTTCGGAGGCGGCGGCTCCTGCTGTTGTGTTGTTACGTTTCTCTCCCCAGCCATCTTAGTGGCTGCTGAGGTGACGGCTAGGAAAGCAGTGGGGCTGTTGTCACATTATCATGACCTTGTCCTTTCTCATTTCTGTAGGACCTTTATAAGTCAGCCTGGCTGTTCCCGTTAGACAGAATGAAAACAGAGGCCTGAATCTGGGTCACCGAGGAATGCAATGAATCAGTGGAGGCCCCAGGCCCTTTGCTTGGCTGCCCTCCCTCCCATGCACAGAGAGCACTGTCGGGAACTGGGGCAGTGATGTCTTTACGGGTTCAAGGAAGGAGGCTACAGATTTTATTTGCGGGTTTATCTAACATCAAAATTGTTTGATTGGAGGTCCCCAACATAAAAGGATGTGTGGCTTTCAGATTTGTTTCTGACCGATAAACAGAGGTTTTAGGAAACTAAAAGCCACTGTCTTGTATGTAAAATTAAATGAAAATGCAATAAAATAGCTTAGTCTTCTTTGGCTTTTCTGTCACTTTTAGCCTTTTCAGATTCTGTAAAATAGGCTGAAGTGATTTGCATAACTCCTCCCATGTGCTCTGGTCAGGGTTGGGCGTCCTCTCTCCAGACCTGAGGTGGAGGGACTTGCTGGCCTCCTATGGGGTGTCTGCCGGGGACCAGCCCCAGTGCCCTTCCTGTCCTCCTTCTTGATTTGGTAGAACAGGTGGAAAGGGGGCCTTTCTTCTGTCCCCACTCTGTGATCTAATCCTGTCTATCCTGATAAAATTAGTCATGCCCTCATTGAAGAGTTTTGTGATATCTTTAAAGTTAAGCCTGAGAAGAGCCAATCCCACTGGAAGTTAGTTTTAATGCTACTTAGAGCTCTTTCATTGATTGTGATAATCTCACTCTGGTTTTCCTGTTCTGAGCCGGGGGTCGTGTCCAACAATTCCTTTCACCATTTACTGTAACTGATTTGAAGCAAAATAGCATGTTCACTGTTCTGGAAACTGATGGAAAAAGTGGTGAATATGGGAGCAGTGAGACAATGAAGATTATCAGGAAATATCTAGAAGGTGTAATTTTTCCAGAAGTGAACATTAGTGATATCGGCAACAGTTACTACAATTAGTCTTTTTACAGTTCTCAGAGATTGTTTCATTGTACAACCAATGTATCTCATTATTAAATACATGGAGAGCACAAAGATTTAGAAACAAAATTATATTTCTTATATTTCTAGCCCCCCCACCAAGCAACCATAGTTATCATTTCAATATATTTCTTCCCACACCCCTCCCCCACACCCTCCCCCACCCCCTCCCCCACGCCCCCCCCCCCCCCCTCCCCCCTGCCCTCCCCCACACCCCTCCTCCACACAGTCTCCCCCACACCCCATCACTCCTTCCTCCCAGCTTTTCCCTCCTTCCACCACCTCCCAGAGCTTCATTTTTTAGATCGGGTTAATCTTTTCTGTTTAACCCCCTTTCCTCTGGCACACGAGCTAACAGAACCTTTCTCTCCCCAGCATGTCTGGGGAAATCAGCAGGAGGAGGGCACTCACTCCATGGCTGGGCAGCCTGGGTGTCTCAAAATCCCTCCTTTCTCCCGGCTGAAACCACCTCCTTCCACTCTCATGTCTTTTGGCCCACATCCTCCTTTTGGCACAGTGGAGAATAAGGCCGTTCCTTTTCCTTGCTGGCTTTCTTCACACACCGAAGGCTGCATCTTCCCTGAGGTCCCCTCGCGACCCCCTCCTTCCTGGCGTGTGCTGGTCCCAGGCCCCTTCATCTCCCTAATCACGCCCTGCCCTCGCCATGGCTGAGTAGAAGGGCTCCCCGCCCCCGGTCCTCAGTGCCGTGACTTCTGTTAGGTCCTGGTCTGCCCAGGACAGCCGCATTCTGGGAGACCAGGACGGCTGGCCACCCTAATCCTGGCAGCCCACGAGGAGGGGGGCTGGGCGGCTGCTGCTGGCATGAAACGTTGACTCCCATCTCTGTGGCGTGAGGGCTGACTCCCCTCCCGCTGCTGGTCCGTCGGGACACCAGCTCCTCTACTCCTGGGCTGTGCCTGAGGGCTGAGCAAAGCCTGGAGTCAGAAGACCAGCGCTTTGGGCGTTGAGATGGGGACTGTGCAGGGGGCAGTCTCTGCTCCCACAGTCGCAGCTAAAAGCGGGCGTGGGCCAGGGGTGTGGAGTGGGGTCAGCAGTGGTGTCTGCTCAGTCCCAGGGCTCAAAAAAGAAAGCCTCACTTGTGCCTGCTGCCTCCATCACGCCATTCTACTTCTTGGCGTCTTACTGCCAGGTTTTGGTTTTTGTTTGATTTTTTATTTATGCATTTTAAAATTGAAGTCTAGGTGATTTACAATGTTGTGTTAGTTTCTGCTGTACAGCAAAGTGATTCAGTTATACGTATATACCCTTTTTTATATTGTTTTCTATTATGGTTTATTACAAGATACTGAATATAGATCCCTGTGCTATGCAGTAGGAACTTGTTTACCACAGCCAATTAAAATTTTTTTTTCTACATCTGTGGTCTTTATTTCCTGAGGCCACACTATCGTCTTAGATCCTTATCATAAAGCTTTCACTTGAGCATTCAGACTGAAAGTTTATCTTCCAAGAGCACTGTAAACACGAGTGATTAAATCCAGAGGTCAGTTTCAGTCCTCAGAGTCTCTACTCCGCAGGTCTTTCTTCAAGCACTTTTCTCCCTTTGCTCCAGTAACACTGTATTGATTTCAAGGGACCTATTCTTCTGGCCACTTCTTTTCTGTCCTTTTCCTCACTTCAATCTGTTCTCCTGTTTCCTGTGCTTAAGTGCAAGCTCCCAGAGCTTTCATCTGCGTCTCTGAGTTCAGTTACAACCTCCTGTGCATAACTCTCCCTGCATCTCATGCTAGAGCTCCTCTTTAGGACAGAAGGAGAGGGGGGAGGGGAGGGGGGAGGGGTTGGAGGCAGAGAGGGAGGAGGGGGAGGGGAGGGGAAGGAGGGGGGAGAGGTCAGCTCTGGGGGTACGCACCAAACATGCGGGAGATCTGCACTTCCCGTGTCTCTAATCTTCACCTGAAGCCTTCACAAATCTCTCCGCTTCATTTTATTAATGAGGAGACGGACACCCAGGAATTAATTTCAAAAGTGGCCAGCACGTGGCTGACCCAGATCTAAAGTCAAGACTCTCCGGTTACACAGTACTTCAGTCTCCTCACACCCCATGTACCTTAAATGAATCTCATTTCCTTCCCCTTACATCAGCTTCTATACCTTCTCTGGTTAGAACTATGTTAGAAACTTAGAAATAAGTTTCCAGTTCCGATTTCCCTATTTCTGTTGAGGTGGAAAATCTGGCATCATTTTTACTCCTTCTTCCTCTTGCTTTTTACTGATTTTTCAAAACGTCATTTCTTCTTCACATTTATCCCAGAAACGCATAAACTTCAGGGTCGGATGACATGGCTTTGCGTCTTGGCTCTCCCAAGTTATGAGATGCGTGAACTTGAGGAAGTTGCTCTATTTCTGAGTTTCAGTTTGACAGCACCAGCACCCTCTAGGCTTCTCGTGCACATGAACAGAGCAGGGTGAGGGGAACAGCGAGACGCCTGGCTGTGAGCCATCAGCCCTGCCAGTCGCTCTTGGGCTCTGGGCTGCCTACCTCTGGACGGTTTCCTGTCCACGTCGGTGCTGGGAACTTGCTCCCTGTCACTCCACAGCTCACAAAACTGCCACATCTTTGCGTCGTCACTGAGACCAAGTCCCAGCTCTTCGGCCAGCCTTCCTCGACTTCCCACTGCAGCCCAGCCCCTCCACGGCTGCCCAGGCTGGTCCAGGACGGTGACCACGCCTTTGCCCTGAGGCTCGCCCCCTCCCCCTGCCTACTTGGCCAGTGGGTCAGCTCTCCTGGCTGAGCTCTGGCCCGTCCCCACAGACACTGCGCTCTATGCCTGCTCAAGCTCTTCGCATTCTCAGTCCTGTGAAGCATCACTCAGCCTTGAACTCACTGCCTGAAATGTCATGTGTTTGCGCCTCACCTTGGCAACTGTGGAAGTCCCTTAAAGGCAGGAAATAAATCACATACTTTAAAGCGCCTCTGTATGTAGTGTGGAGCACGGGGTAGCTATCTGAGAGTTTAATTTACAGCAGGCAAAGGAGATCGGTGTGCCCCTGGCTCTCTAGCAGTACAACGTTCAGGTTGGATCGTTTAGCACATAGAGTGAAAAAGAGTGTCAAACTGTGCAGGCCCAAAGCTACAGCACGTGCCCCGAACACGAAGGCTGTACAACCCGAAATCTTTGTCAGTTCCAGAATACGAGGGGTCAGCGTGGTTGACAATTCCGTCTGTAAAACGCACTTCTGTCCCTACTGGGGAATTTGCTGGCAGAATCTGATGAATAGCATTTCCGTATTTCTAGATGGAGGAAAAGCTACCAAGCCAAACCACAGGGCACAGACCTAAGCCGCTGCTGGATGAGATGTTCTGTTTTTAGAGTTGCCTGGCTTCATCTCTCCAACAGCATCGCTGGCTTACATTTCTTATCCCCCCACTTCTAGCATCTCTTCTCACTGTTGGCTTTCTTGGGGAGGATAGTTTTTAAACAAAGAAAGTCCGTTTTTGTTTTGATTGTTGTTATTTGTAACACACCTCGTTACTTCAGAAGAGGATTAGAGCTCAAGCTGAAGAGGAGAGAACGGCTCCCGTTACTCATTGCTGCTCAGCAAACGACCTCCGACTGTGGTGGCTCAGAACAAAGATTTGTTATTACCTCTCAAGGCTCTGGGGTTGGCGGGGCTCAGCTGAGCGGTCCTCAGGAGGGGCCTGTCATGCAGTTACACCCAGAGGGTGGCTGGGACCCGAGTGGTCAGAAGGCTCCATGGGGCTGGCTGTTGTCTGGGGTCTCAGCAGGAGCTCTCCGCACGCTGCCCACACATGGCTTCTCTGCAGAGCCTGGGCTTCTCAGCCCAGCACAGAGGCTGGGTTCCAAAGAAAGCACAGCCCAGTGGGGAGCTGCAGGGCTCCTGTGAGCCAGCCTCAGGAATCCCGGATCACCGCTTCTGACATAACGATTGGTCAAGCCAGTCAGCAAGGCCAGTCCAGACCAAAGAAGAGGGAAATAGATTTTACCTCTTGACACGTGAGCCGCATGCTTGTTTTAAAAGAAAAGGCATTGAAGCTGGCGGTCTCCAAAGACTATCTGGCACACGAAATGGACATCTCGTTAAGATACAGGTAACACCGACATCAGCTGTGTTCATTTTCCAGGTCCCCGATATCCCAACACTCCAGCCACCAAACCAAGACTCAAGCGTGTCCCTCAGAAACCCTGCAAACCACCATCTGCTGAGCCTGCACAGTGACCGGCAAATATCAGACACCGGAACTGTTAATCAGTGAGGGCCGAGGTCCTCTGAAATGTCAAAGACAATCGGCTTTATCCGCCACGATCCCATCGGCAGATACTGGTGATCCGGGCGTCATGCGTCTTTGGAAATTATCCACAAAGTTGAAAATGTATGAAATCCTTGTTATGGGTCTTCCCTGGTGGCGCAGTGGTTAAGAATCCACCTGCCAATGCAGGGGATGTGGGTTCGAGCCCTGGTCCGGGAAGATCCCACATGCCGCGGAGCAACGAAGCCCGTGCACCACAGTTACTGAGCCCGCGTGCCTAGAGCCCATGTTCCACAACAAGAGAAGCCACCGCGATGAGAAGCTCACGCACCATAATGAAGAGTAGCCCCCCCTCGCTGCAACCGGAGAAAGCCCACGTGCAGCAACGAAGACCCAACACAGCCAAAAATAAAATAAATAAATTAAAAGAAAGAAAGAAAGAATTAAAAAAAACCACCTTGTTGTCCCTTAAAGGAACATTCGATATCATGTGTGAGGAAGTCCATTTGATTGAAAAACTTTATGAAATTTTTGCCTAAAATCACTTTAGCTCTTATAATGAAAAAGTGTGTTTGTATAATGTACGCACATTTCTCAAGTTCCTATTTTTCCTTTTAAATTCTTCTTCCTTCTTAGGGGAGCCCACTCGTACTCTCTGCCCTGCTTGTGTGGCCAAGACTCCCCTTCCTTCTAATTAAACAGGGACCTGCAGCTGGACGAGCTGCCTTTCCACACCCCAGGGTGAACCCCGCAGTTAAGAGGAGGGGTCCCCGGGGAAGCCCAGACCTACACAGGAGTATCACAGCCAGCCTCACCGCAGAGTGTAAAGCACTTCCTATTCGGCCGTGGTATTAATTTACCAAACTGTCCCTGGACTTTGTTCTGAATGAATTTTTCACACCTACTGTCAGACTTTCAGACTGGAAACTATTTATGTAAAATGCATCACCGCATTGTGTACTTCTTGCTTTTTACATCCCTCACAATGTCATGCAAATGAGCAGCAGATTTTATTTAAATGAGGTGAGAGCTCCCAGGACCTGTAACGTGGGACATGTTCTAGAGAGAGAAAACAAAATGGTCTGAGCTTCCCAAGGGTGACATATAATTTGGATTTTACTTTGAAGTACAGAAGGGGTGCTGGGGCAAAGGACGTATGAGGACCACACAGGTCTGGAGTCCCACAGAGGAGCAGCCTCGTGGACGGCGTGGGAAGGCCAGAGGCCCAGGGCTGGAGCTGCTTGGAGGCCAGGGCCAAACCCTCTACGGATTCTCCTCCCTCTGGGGGCAGAGAAGTCGTGTGAGGGACAGTGGTCCCTCCTGGGGGTGTCTCCCACTCTTCTGACAGGCGGGCCAGCATGGGTGCCGAAGCGTGTGGCTCCAGCGATGGAGCCTCCTGGCCCGTCGTGTGGCCTCACAGTGTCGCTTTTCTCAACATGCTGAATCCTACTCACTGTTCTGTCTTGGTCCTCAGCGAAGTCAAGGCTGTTTTTCTTGCTTTTAGGCAGGCCAGTTCTAAGGTGATAATGAGCTGCAAAAGGGTTTACCTTCCCACTTTCTTGCTAAACAAGGCCATCAAAGGGGATTTCGGAAGGAACGGGCAGAAAAGGTGTGTGCGTGACACCAGCCCCTGAGGTGGCCTGTTTTTTCCTCTGCCAGGAGCCTGGGGCCTGGTAGGCAGCCCTTCCAGCAGCTTCCACCCAAAGCAAGAAGCAGGACCTCGGAGGAGGTGGTGGGTGGTGATGAGAAGCAGGGGATGTGACGGGGCAGCAGTGGGAAAGGCAGAAAGGACACACTCCCTTGCTCTCCATCCAGGGATCAGCGGTCCAGGTCAGGGACCCCGAGGGATGTCACGTGAAGGGCTCTTTTCAAACAGAGGAGGGGATGGGACACCCGTGTCAATGCAAAATTGTAAGCTCCATCAGAGAAAAACAAGTCAGGACTTGGAAAGAAGCGAATGACATTCAAAAGGATCATTGTGAGGGAGGGAATGGGACTGTTGTGACATCGGTGCCCTGGGATCAGAGGTCGGCAAGTACCTCAAAGTCAAACAGAAAAAGGCTTTTCTTCTATAGGGTTGGGGAAGGAGACAGGGATGAGCAGAAACTTTGCAGGGAAATGACCCACAATGGCCGGGAAGAGGGTCCCGCTGTGCTGACGATTCCCCAGAGAAGCTGACAAGGGGACAGGTCCACGTTCAGTGTTGCTCAGACTTGGGGACAAGCTGCGTTCTGGGGTCTGTAGGAAGGAGAGACCCCTGACTAGCTCTTAGTAAGACAAAGCAGAGGGTGGGCCGTGGGCAGCTTGCTCGACTCAGGAAGAGACAGGAAGCTAAAGAGAAAGGAGGAGGGAACATGTCAGTCAACCTGGTCTTGCTTTTAATTGATCTTTGCTATAAATTTTTTTATAAAACTATCTCCTGGGACTTCCCTGGTGGCGCAGTGGTTAAGAGTCCACCTGCCAATGCAGGGGACACGGATTCGAGGCCTGGTCCGGGAAGATCCCACATGCCATGGAGCAACTGAGCCCGTGAGCCACAACTACTGAGCCTGCACTCTAGAGCCCGCAAGCCACAACTATTGAGCCCGTGCACCACAACTACTGAAGCCCGTGCGCCTAGAGCCCGTGCTCTGCAACAAGAGAAGCCACCACAATGAGAAGCCTGCGCACCACAACGAAGAGTAGCCCCCGCTTACTGCAAGCAGAGAAAGCCCACGCGCAGTGACGAAGACCCAATGCAGTCAAAAATAAATAAATAAATGTATAAGAAAAAAGTAAAAAATAAAAAAACCTATTTCCTGAGACTTGAATCACAACACACTACATCATGGTGAACACTTTTATGATTCCAGAATTCTTTTATTTTTCTGTCATTTTTTTTTTTTTTTTTTTTAAAATCACTTGTACCCAAAAATGAGTCTCCAGATGACTCATCAATTGCTTTTCCTTCCATCAACTGCTATACCTAATGGCAGGGCACTTGTTAGGTCTGTCACCTACCATCTCATAAAGATCAGGTGCCCAGCCTTTTAGCATCTCACGCTTTTCTTTTTTTTAAATTGAGAGATAATTGACATATGACATTATATTGGTTTCAAGTGTACACCATAATGATTGGATATTTACATGTATTGTGAAATGAACAATAAGTCTAGTTAATATCCATCACCACACATGGTGTTTTTGATCCCAAATGATACAATAGTAATACTTGTGTTTTTTTTATCCCCCCAAAAAACTAGTGTTTATTGAGTAGCTACCCCACCCCAGGCACTGTCCTACCAGCGTCACATGAACTGAGGCTGCTGTCCTCCGTGACACTCTGAGGCTGCCCCGTCATGGTCTTTATTGTACAGAGGAGGGAATGAGGGGTGAAGAAGGTCAGTACCTCCCTGCGGTGCACAGCTTTCGGGGTGAACACAGGCAGGGGGCTCCAGAGGCTGCATCACTAACCACAATGCTCACACGGCCCTTTCTAAATACTTCTAAATCTTTCCAGGCAGCCCGCAAAGTGCCCTTGCTCCCAGAGGTAACTGACCAGGAGACGGAGTGAGTGTTTGAGCATAAACTCGTTGTCACACCTTGAAAGGCAACTCAGAGTCCTTCTTCTGGGAGATAACAGCACCCAGGTCCCTCCCTTCTCAGCAGCTTTACCACCAGCTCCAGGGAGTCACATGATCATTTTATAACCTGCAGGATGTAGATGGTTAACCATCTGTATTTGGGCAAATAGGCGTTCCTTTTACATAGGAAGTGGTAATTCAGCGATTTGCTTTTGGTTAATTCTGGTCTCTCACTGCTTTTTTCTTAATGACCATTAGAAAGTGCATCTGGTTAAGAGAATCACACTGGTGCTGTGCGTTCCTGGGGTGTCATGAGGGGCGTGTAACCGAACTGGGCACTTTGGATCACGGCGTTTCTCAAGGTGAGCCCTGCTAAGCCCCCTCGACTCCTTTTAAAAGTGTATTTTCTTCTCTGATACCCACATCTAAGGAATATTAGACATGGAAGTGCTTTACTCTTAAGAATTCCAGAATGCTGGCATGTTGTCTGTGTTTACACTTAGTGAAACATTCTCACTTTCACACATACAGTGTCCTAATAGTTTTAGGAATAGTACTGTGTGTTCAGGAAGCTCGCTTTCCCTCTAAATGTACAGGAAGTGATTTCATTCTAATTGCCTCGAACTGGAGCTTGGGCGATGGTTCGGGCATTGCTTCATAGGGGAAAAGTCCAGGGGGCACCTGTCTGGAGAGCAATTCTTTATTTAAATAAGTACGTAAAGAGTTTGCAGAGCTAAAACCTGAGCTAAAATAATGTTTTGGCGGCCACGCAGTAGGTGATTTACGCACGGAAAGATGACGAGTGAGGGTCTCGAATAGCTGGGGATTGATTGGGAAGGAGCTTTTCAGGCAGTCATTTAAGAGAAATTGATTGGGTGGAAATTTTTATGAGACTCAGTGAAATACACGAAAAGCTCTGATAATGGCTGCAAATGCCACAATGATTGTGGAGTGAGTGTCTCATGACCATAAAAGAATGCGCAGTGGTCTTTCGAAGAGTCCGCCGTGGCTCCAGCCAAAGCCTACAGGGCTGCAGAAAACAGCCATTGCAGAGATCAGTAAAGAAACAAGTGCAAGGTCTGAATTAATTAATCACTAATTCTGGAAATGGTTAGAGATATGAAATCTAATTTCTGTAGTGAAAAAGAAAATGTAAAAGTGAGCTTTTAAAGAAGCAAAGGGAACCAAAAGAAAAAAAATGCAAACTTATATACCAATCACTGGAAAAAACCCTCTGGCTTCTTTCTTAACCACTCTTATTCAAAAGCAGAAGGAAGCCAGACTAGGGTTTCAGCTCCACCGATGTTCATCTAAAAAAGGATAAAACACCCATGGTTCAAATGAATTAAGAGAACCTACATTTATTGAATACTTACTTTTGTAGTTTGTGAGATTCTGATATACATATCGTTTAAAAATAAACATATTATTTAAGATCTTGTGGGAATTTTATAGTCCTCCAGTAAGACCTGCTGGAGACAAGGTGAATTAGGTCTCTAATTCACAGCCCTAGAGGAACTGCAGTCTTCCCATCTATAAATGGGTATAAGTCTACCTTAGAGGGTTTTTGTGAGGCTATAAGGGATAATGGATGTAAAGCAGTGATCCCAATGCCCAGTGTGTAGTTAGAACTTAATTTCAAGCGTGCACACCCGCTTTCCACACACTCAACAAACATACACACGCATACACGCATGCAATGCATACACCCGTATGTAATATACCCACACATGACTGACTATATGTGTGTACACAACATATATACATGCACACACATCACACATGCATGCAGTGCATAACACGACATACATACATATACCCATACACACAATGTGACACGCATACACATCACACACACATGTATGCATGTGCATACATGTACTCAACATATGTACACATACACATTTAGTTCTTGTTCCTTGTCTTGTGGGCCATCACTATTTATGAAAATAAACACAGATTTAAAATCTTCTGCTTTAACTTTAACAAACTATTAAACTTGTTATTAAATTTGTTTAAATAAAAAATTTAACAGTTTCCTTGCTGATGATATTTTGTTAAAATTATTCATGTTTTCCCTGTATTTAATTTTGTTGGGTAGAGTCTGCCCTTGGCCAAATGCACAAAAAGGTTGAAGTTGGTCTGTTACCCACCCCCTTCTGCTTTTTCAGCCACCTCTTCTCTTCTCTTGGGGATCTTACTTCCTTTTTGCTGCCACCCACTCCTGGTCCGAACAGAGAGCAGACCAGTAACTGACAGACAGACCCTGCGAGGCTGTCCTTGGTCAACTGATACCAGTGAAGACGCTGGCTGCTAATGACCTAAACTGTTTTCTGCCTGTCCCTGGTCCTCTGCATGTGACCAGAGGGCTTCCAAAGCCCTCAAAGACCAGAGCAGAGGAGCAGCTCCTGTGAAGTGGAGACCCGGGGGGCGGCCTCTGATGGATTTGAGAGCAGCTGAATAGGGAGAAGGGGCACTGCCTGGAGTTTTTGTTTTTTAATTTTTTAAAAAAATTAATTTATTTATTTTTGGCTGCGTTGGGTCTTCGTTGCTGCACACAGGCTTTCTCTATTTGCAGTGAGTGGAGGCTACTCTTCCTTGTGGTGCAGGGGCTTCTCATTGTGGTGGCTTCTCTTGTGGAGCATGGGATCCAAGCACATGGACTTCAGTAGTTGTGGCACACGGGCTCCAGTAGTTGTGGCTCTCAGGCTCAGTAGTTGTGGCTCGTGGGCTCAGTAGTTTTGGCTTGTGGGCTCTAGAGCACAGGCTCAGAAGTTGTGGCTCACGGGCTTAGCTGCTCTGCAGCATGTGGGATCTTCCTGGACCAGGACTCAAACCCATGTCCCCTGCATTGGCAGGCGGACTCTCAACCACTGTGCCACCAGGGAAGCCCCTATTCTTTTCATTTTTGAATGAAGTAGTCAATTAGCTGTTAGTTTCTGAGATACCTTCTTTTGTATATTGTACCTAATGAAAATGGTACTAGGAAGCCACAGTGTTTAACTGCAAAAAAAAAAAAAAGTAAATTAGCATTTAAAACACTATGTTAAAAATGTTCATCTAATTAAGTAACATTAAGTTTTCCTTGAAGTAACACTTTTTTTTTCCTGGGTCGTAACAAAATCTTTGAAATGTGACAACTAGGAGGCAGACGCTCTCACCATGTGCATACGTTGAATCTTGGAACTTTAGCACATTTATTTTCATTTAAAAGAGTAATATATTTGTGGTTTCAAATCTTAAATGCAAATGTCATATGAAGGTTCACCTTATCACTGTGTGTCTCTATAAACGGACGAAAAGCCATTCAAAGATATATCTTTTAGGGACTTCCCTGGTGGCGCAGTGGTTGGGAGTCCGCCTGCCGATGCAGGGGACGCGGGTTCGTTCCCCGGTCCGGGAGGGTCCCGCGTGCCGTGGAGCGGCTGGGCCCGTGGGCCATGGCTGCTGGGCCTGCGCGTCCGGAGCCTGTGCTCCGCGGCGGGAGGGGCCGCAACAGTGAGGGGCCCGCGTACCACAAAAAAAAAAAAAAAAAAAAAAAAAAAAAAAGATATATCTTTTAATAATAGATGAATTCTAAGTATGTCCACGATGAGAAAAGAATCCATCAGGAGTTAGCGCAAGGCCTGTGCACTTTTCCTTTCATGCGATGTCTGAGTGGTGGATGCACTCCTAGTTGGAGGCCGGCGTGGAGACCAGCTTGCTGCCTGAAGATAGGGGATCTGTTCGCCTTAGTGATGTCCCTCACCACCAGGCAGTGCCAGCGCTGGACAGAGCCTGGAGCTGCTGGCCACCGGGCGGCATGTGGGCCTGGCATTTATACTTGTCTTGGAAGGAAGGAAGGAAGGAAGGAAGGAAGGAAGGAAGGAAGGAAGGAAGGAA